ACATCCGAGTTCTACACAATGTCATCATCCCATCACCTTATAATTGCTTGTAACGTGAGATTAGCCGATTAAAAAAAGGCCTTCCAAGAGGGTCGAAACGAAATCACCATTGTATTTTGGTTTTCATTCGTAGTTGCTAAGACAAGCCAATTTCCTCAATAATCATGAGCACGACGCCCAAGTTTTTCAGTGCGATCCGTTCCATCCATGGATCTCGTGTGATCTGCATGTTGACATTTGAGAAATCAATTAGATGTGGATATGTCCCTTGATGATGTTTCTTGAATGACATTATCTTACAATTTCTGGTGAAATATAAGTGGGTTGAAGTGTGCCCATATGTGATAAATAAAAAATGATGGATTATTTAAACTGTCTACTGCTAGGCATTGCAGTAGTCAGTTGCTAAACGCGGCCCCAAAAGCTATGCTCATTCACCTAACCGTGTTGCAGGAGAACCAACTCAAATATGAATCAAAAGGTATTGCAGATTGAAACAATTTAAAAGCTCACCAGGCTGGTGATAAATATAAATCAATATATACTCATAAAATAAAAATATGGAAATTCGTAGTTAGCTGACAGTTAAGAAGGGGATCGAAAGAGGGAAGAATTAGAAGTTAAATAGAGATAATTTTGGGGAAGAAGTATTCCTCCATCGAAACCAAATAGTTTTTTTTAATTTGGCGAAGGAACAGGGACAAAATTATTCAATTGTTTTACCAACCCTTATAAGTAAAATTTTCCTCAATAAATGAGTTCTGCACCCGCTGAGCATAAACGTTTTGTTGATTTCCTGTTCAGTCTCATTACAGAGAATTCGTTCATCAAAGAGCCAATCAGTGCCTGGTAAAGTTTGGTGTGTCTATCGATAGTGCCCTATGGTTCTTGTAGATAGTAAGCTCCTGACGGCTATCTCGGATAGCCCAAGTGGTTGGTGCGTCGTGTTAACAACCCGCGTACCGGGTTCTAATCCATACATTTAGTATGTTTGCTATTGGTTGCTATTTTTCCCCTCTCAGTTTAAACACGAAACTGAACGCCCTCCCCATCCTATCTTACCACAGGTCTCCCAAACTACAGTGTTTCCCGTGATTATTTAGCCCTCGCTCACGATTTGCCTTCTATGTAGCAGGAAGGTAAATTCCAACAACCATTCATCAAATTCATCGGTTCAGCAAATCATGTGGTGAGATTCCTGACAAGAGGAAAGAATAGTCAGCGGGTGCATGTATCTTCACTTCGATCTTTCATGGTTTAGTGACAGTTTAACACTGAGGATAACAAAACGCACTTCGGTTGTAGTTTGATTGCAAATCGTTGCGCCGTCGGACGGACTGATAGACCATTAAATCTCTAGCATCCTTCATTGGTGGGTTAACTGTGCCTCTGTCTTCGTAAGTCTCAACGAGACAGCTTTGTAACTGAATAAAAGTATTCCCGAGTTGTCGAACGTGCCTTTGGACCTTACTGGGGCTAGAAAATGAGCGAAGTTTTTTTACCGGCGGGNGGCGGGTAACACAATGAACACCCTCAGCTTCCGCAAGTTCAGTTTCACAGTTGCTCAGAAAAGCATATCCACATTAGGAAGACAATCATTTGTTGAGTTGATTAGAGTAAGTTGACTGTATCTGCAGTCAATAAGTACTCCTAGACAATATGCATCGATTTGAGATTAAAATTTCACCTCTTTTACTTGTAATCCGATATTTTCAAATAAGGAGGCGAGAATTCATCTATGGTAGGAATCTCTGTGATGACCGACAGTCAGAAATTATACGCTGGTGTAGTGTGATGATCGACAACGATCACCAGATATTTGTTTTCGTCTCGTTAAAAGCTCATCAGTAATTCGTAAATCCTGTATTCCTGTTGAGAATATTTGGGTTGGGGATCGAAACACTTATTCCTGATCTACATGGTCGACAGTTGACACCTTGAGTGAATGATCCACTCAATGGATATCATTAGCTATGTTATAACTGTACGCCCCGGATTAGGAAGAACATAATTCACTGAACTGGAATGGGCTGACTGTACTTGTGTGAACCCAATTTACAGGGTCAATGTGTGAAATCCAGATCAATAGTCATTAGGCCTGTCGATACTGGTAAGGTCGATAACAAGACCGACCAGTCAGGTGACACCCGATGCGAACGAACTGCTGTATGATTTGAGCTCTCATCACACGCATCAAGCATGGAATTAGCACACCCGAATGAACCCCAAGCTCAAAACTATTAACAGTAGGCTAGCAAAAACAGAACATTATAAATTAATGTTAGCCGTTCACTCAAGGTATGGACCAGCAACTCTTTAGCTCTCAACAACTGAGTTTTTCGGTTCGAGTTCTGGCCTGTACACAAAAATGTACGCTCTGCTGATCCCAATCATGTAGGAAATAATCGCCCAAAGTTCTCTGTTGCATCGACCAGTAGCGGAAGACATTCAAAGAAAAGTTGAATAAAGTGAATTTCACTTTGTATGAAGTTCACTAAAAAGCTAGAAAGCACTGCGCAGTGGTTTCGCCCTGGCTGGATCTCACCAACGATGCAAATTCATAAACCCAACTGGGGATCGAACCCGGGATCTCACGGGGTAGAACTCAAACATGCTACCCACTTTGCCACCGGGCCACTGATCACATAGCTTTCCATTTTGTCTGCATGCGATATAGCACAGAGCATCTTGCAGGGTCCCGGGTTAGGCTCGCAGTAAAGTCGATCGATTCGCACCGTTGTACAGTGCTTCCTAGCTTTTCAGTGCACTCCACTACCTTAACATACCAGACACACCAAATCCCATGATCATTTATTAGTTTTCATCGATATAACTACCGTAAAGTGAACTCATACGCGCACATAAGTAGCTACGGAAAAGTAAAATGTGGTCAACTTTGTTACTCCACTCCGTTGT